CCCGGGGTAGCGGGAGGGGGGTTTGGGGGGGTCCCCTGTGCATGCCACTAACCACGCTCCCGCCTCGCCGCAGCTCTTTGAGATGGCACGCAGCGCCTACCAGGACAAAACCAAGGTGAAGTTCATTACCTTTCCCAAAAAGCTGGGCCTGGGCCATGACTACATCTCGTTGAACCCGGAGCTGCCCGCCCTGGTGAAGTAAGCGCTGCTCTGCAGAAATGGAGGGGGCACAGCACGAGCCTTGGCCTCTTCTGCCAAGGGTGCATCCTCCCCTGCTGCAACCATGCAGGTGCCTTTTCCCTGCTCCTTCCCCTCCCTGCCGTGCTTCCTGGCACCAGTTTTTGAGCTCCAGTTGCTCCTCACTGCCCTGGGCCCGGGTGTGATGGGGAGGTGGCCCTGGGGACAGCGCCCAGCTCCTCCGCCCTGGGTGCAGAGATGCAGCTTTGCTGTAAGCCCAGCTCAGCCCCACACCCAGGGATCAGAAATCAGGCTCTCGAGCAGCAGCAGGATGGTCGGTGACACAGTGTGAGGTTTATTGCATCTTGTTGCAGAGACTTCTTGAACGTTAAGTGATGCCAGCCGCTGCGTGCAGCCACCACGAACACTCCCTCAGCCCCACACCGGGAACCCCTCGTTGCACTGAACTTACTGCTGTACGTAATAAAAAAACTACTGAGAAACTTCCTAATTCGCCCACCGCCTCGAGGATGCTGCAGGGTACTCGGGGGATGGAGACACTCCGGCGATCTGGGTGCTGCTCCTGGGACAGGACCGTGCAAGCCGGGACTGGGAGCATCACACGGGGCAGCGGTGGGGGTACGTTAACCCCCCTTGGCACTGATGCCTTAGGACTGGCAAAGAGCTGCACCCCAAGCCCTGCTTCAGCATCGCCTACAAGGGCTCAGCCAGCTGTGCCCAGCTGTGCTGCCCACCCTGCCCAGCGGCTTGCCCCCCCCGCACCCTCTTTCTGCGTTGGAGCAAAGCCCGGTCCCTAATTTTAGGCTTCAGCAAACGGGTCCTTGGACTCTAATGGCACTTTTATTTTTAGCACCTATGCAAGCAACGGGGCGACGTGGTTTCGCTTTCCGCACGACACTTAGGTTATAAAAAGTCCTCCCCCTCCCCTGTCCCCCCCCGCCCCGAGGAAAGCCAGCAGCAGCAGCACACAGACTAGACAGCAGAGACGATTTTACAACGCACGTGCTCGCGGCCCCTCGGCAGCTCCGTGCCCCTAGGCCGCCGTGCCGTTGAGGGTCTTGTCCTCAGCTGCATCCCGGGGCTCGTTGGGAGGTGGGATCTTCAGGTCAGAGGGCTCCACGTGCCAGATGTCCCGGGCGTACTCCTTGATGGTGCGGTCGCTGGAGAACTTGCCGGCCGCCGCGATGTTCCTGATGACCATCTTGGTCCATGCCTTGGAGTTCTGCGAGGAGAGGGGTGGGACGGTGGGTGCCATAGAATCATTTTTGGTTGGAAAAGACCTTTAAGATCATCAGGTCCAACCATTACCCTAACACCACCAAGCCCACCACGAAACCATGTCCCTAAGCACCACATCTATACACTTTTTGAACACCTCCAGGGATGATGACTCTGCCACCTCCCTGGGCAGCCTGTTCCAATGTCTGAGCACTCTTTCAGTAAAGGAATTTCTCCTAATATCCAATCTAAATCTCCCCTGGCACAGCTTGAGGCCTTTACCTCTTGTCCTGTCGTTAGTTACTTGGGAGAAGAGACCAACACCGGCCTCACCACAACCTCCTTTCAGGCAGTTGCAGAGCGATCAGGTCTCCCCTCAGCCTCCTCTTCTCCAGGCTGAACACCCCCAGTTCCCTCAGGCACTCCTCTTAAGACATGTCTTCCAGACCCCTCACCAGCTTCACCATGTTGACTCCAAGACCGTCTTTCAACCAGGAACCACCAGCAGCAGCACAGCCAGGAGCCTCCTCGCCAGAAACCCATCTACAGGCACAGCCCCACCAGACCGCTTCTCCAGGATGGGATGTTGTGCCTCCCCACCACAGCTCCCCCGTCTCATCCCCGGGCTGGCACTCACCAGGTACAGCTCGCTGACCTTCTCCTGGCATTTGACATAAGCCTCGTAGTCCGCAAAAACTTTAAACCTGTAGCAGTGAAGAAAAGGGGAGTCGGCGAGAGCAGAAAGGGGTAGGTGGGAGCACGGCGGCAGTCGGTGGCTGCAGCACCCAGGGCTCTGGCTGCCAGGTCCGGGGCTTCCTCCAACACAAATGCTACAAATTCCTCCTCCCCAAGCCCTGTTTGGACAAATCCCTGTGAGCCCGCGGGTGCTGTGGCACGGGCTGGATGGGTGCCCCGGGAATGCACGCCCTGTGTCAGCTCACCGGGAAAACATTTCCCCAGTGCAAACACCCACGGCCCTTGGCTGCTTAGTGCTCCGGCCAGGAAAGCCCTTGAGATACCTAAAAGCATCTATCACCTGGCAAGGGCTGTGCACCCAAATGTGTCTCGGCCTCAGTGTACCCCAGGCTTTAACGCGGCACGCGTGAAGTGCCGCACGTGGAGAGCCTTTTGTAGCCGTGGAGCATCAATTGCTCATCCACGTGCATCAGGGCCAGAAAATGGGACTTCATCAGCGAGAGGGTGGATGGTTGGTGGAGCTCTGCATGGGCACCAGGAGTTTGGTGGAGAGACCCAACCCAGGGGATGGATGGCGTTCCCAGGCCTCACCGGTCGTGGTGGAAGAGCATGTTGACCACGTCTTTGAAGAGGTCAGGCTCCTCTGGGGAGAAGAAGCCACTCTTAATCTGGTCAACGGCTTGCTTCAGCTCGGGGAGTCGGTCGTAGTACTTGTGGGCATTGTACCTGGCAGGGAAGGGTTGATATGAGATGCTGCTGCTCCGGCTGCCTGTGGTGGCACCCCCGTGGCATCCCCAGCCCTCACCCTTCCCGGTCCAGCTCCGTGACATCCTCCACCCTCATGCCGAAGATGAACAGGTTTTCCTCTCCAGCCTCCTCGGCCATTTCCACGTTGGCTCCATCCATGGTGCCGATGGTCAGAGCCCCGTTCAGCATGAACTTCATGTTCCCCGTACCCGACGCCTCGGTGCCCGCCGTGGAGATCTGCTCCGACAGGTCGGTAGCAGGGATCACTGCCAACAAAACACACGGATGCAAGGGGCTCACGGTGACCAGCTTTGGGTTTGCATCGTGCCGAAGGATGTCAGACCTGCTGTCTCACAGCGTGGACAGCCACGGGGCAGACATCCCCTCCCCACAGCGTGCCCCACGTGGGCTACCTTTCTCTGCCAGCGAGACCCTGTAGTTCTCCAGGAAGATGACCTTCAGCTTGCTCCCCACAACGGGGTCATTGTTCACCACGTGAGCCACAGCATTGATGAGCTTGATGATCATTTTAGCCATGTGATATCCTGGGGCAGCCTAGGAGAAAGCCATGGGTGAGCCCGGAGGGCTGGTGCCAGGGGCAGGCGAGGAGCCCTCAGCTCCCACATGCCCAGGGAACCACCTGCTCAGCCCTGCTCCCACCACCTCAGCCAACCCATGTGCTCGCCACCAAGTTTTCGGGAGCTTACATGACCACAGGCAGCGTACGGTTGTGCCAGGCCTCCCCCAAAAACTTGGTGCTTTGCTTGGGTTGAAGCCAACAAGTGCTACCCCAGCATTTCCTGGAAATGGCCCCATGAGACATCTGCACCCAAATCCCCTAGGACTTCCTCCAAAATGCCCAAAACTCCCGACTCAACTTACTTTGCCTCCAATGATCACCGTCCTCGGCACAAACACCTTCGCCGGCTCCCTCCTGATGCCTGCAGAAGACAGCGGCGTGGCGTCACCCTCTCTTTCAGCTGCAGCCCTGGGGGATAGGGATGCTCGTGCACCCCCGGGGCAGCCTGTCCCCTCGGGGGGCGCGGTGGCTTACGGTTGTACATGGTGACGATGTGGAGGCAGTTCATCAGCTGCCGCTTGTACTCGTGGATCCTCTTCACGTGCACGTCGAACATGGAGGAAGGGTTGATCTTCACTTTGTACTCCTTCTCCAGGTACAGCGCGAACTTCACCTTGTTCTCCTGGGGGAGGGCGGGGAATGTGTCAGCCCCCAGAACTGGGCTCCCCCTGCCTGCATCCCCCGCTGCCTGCATCCCCCTCTGCCTGCATCCCCCGCTGCCCGTACCCCTCACCTGCTTCACTTTGGCAACCTCCCGGATGAAGAGGTCGTCGTCCACAAACTCGTGCAGCTTTGTCAGCTGGCTCAGGTCCCGCACGTAGTCCTCCCCTATTTTCTGCAACAGGAGCACAGGCGCACGCTGACCGCGGGGATGAGGGTGGCTGCCTTCACCGGGCACGCTGCTCCCGCCCGGCAAAGCCGGCGGTGTTCAGAAAGCAGGAGCAGAGCACTCGGGGCGAGATACAAACAGACCTTGACCATTTAGAAGATGCAAAGGGCTGAGGTTGGAGAGGCAGCCCTGGGGTCGGGGGCCAGCGTGCTCCCCCCGACCCCGTGCCATTACCTCCGCGATGAGCTCTGCCAGCCCCGGGTTGCAGAGCAGGAGCCAGCGCCGCGGGGTGATGCCGTTGGTCTTGTTCTGAAACTTCTCCGGCTCCAGCGCTGCAAAGTCCTCGAAGCTGCGAGGATGAGGAGGGGGGTGGCTTCAGGCTTGCCCCACCTGCCACCACCACCGTTTCCAAGCCGAGGGCGATCCACCACCGCCTCCCTCCCCGCGCTTACACTTGAGTCTTGACTATTTCGGAGTGGATCTTCGCCACGCCGTTGACGGCGTGGGAGCCGACGATGCAGAGATGGGCCATGTTGATCCTCTTGGTGCCTCCCTCCTCGATCAGGGACATCCTCCGGAGCCGGTCCACGTCGTTCGGGAAGAGGGACGCGATGTGCTGCCGGTGAGCGGTGCTGGTGTTTAGGGATGTCCCACCCGATGGGTCCCAAAAAGGTCCCCAGTGCATTCAATACCAGCCAGAGCCGTGGCTTTTACTCCAAAGCGATGGTGCAACCCCCCTCCAAAGGGTGCCCTTCCCCAGCACAGATGTCTCTGGACAGAAGGACCCCCCCGCCAAGTCCCCATGGAGAGGGGCTTGTGGGCACACGCTTGGCCAGCGGGGCTGTTTTGGCAAAAGCCTCGTGCTGCCAGACCAGGAGGCCAAACCACCTTCCCCTTTGTACCCCCAACCTCATCCTTCTCCAGGATGAATCTAGCATTTAGGGAGCAAAGAAATGCCAACAGGTAAGTCCCTGGAGGAACGGGTGAAGTCTTTAAAATAGCCACTAACTGTGGGATGGCAACAGCCTGGTGGGAAGGGCTTTCCTACGCATCAGCCTCCCAAAATAGCAGCCAAAACCGCCCGGTCGCACACCCCTCATCACTGGTTTGTGCATCCCCCTAATCCCGACAGCACAACGTGTGCCCATCCCCGTCCCCCTCTCCGGAGGGGGCTCCTGCGCTGCCCCAAGGCACTTACATCCAGGTGTCTCTGGTTGATCTCGTAGATGATCTGCAGGTGTCTGGGGAGCAGCTTTTCCACCAGGTCCACCGGCCAGCGCTCCAGGGCTTCGGGGAGCACCGTGTGGTTGGTGTAGGCGAAGGTCTGTGTGGTGATGTCCCAGGCCTGCCAGGGTGGGGAAAGAGCCGGCGCTGAGCAGCGAGGGTGGAGGCAGCCCCAGGCGGGTGCCAGCACCCACGCGTGGTCCTCCCGCTGTGGCCACCATCATGGCCAAGCCGGCTGCTCCAAGTCCATACTGGTTAAACCCAACCTGACTGCTTCACGTCACCCCCCAGGCCACCAGCAGCTATAAAACTGGCTCCCCAGCTCCTCTGCCACAGGCGGGTGGGAGGGTGGGTGTAAGCGGTGGGGACCCATGGGTCAGGTCGGGTCTCCCTACCTTGTTCCAGGGCAGCTTCTCGATGTCCACGAAAATCCTCATCAGCTCAGGGATGGCCATGGCGGGGTGTGTGTCGTTGAGCTGGATGGCAACCTGCGGGGACAGCGGGGGTGGCACATGGGGACACGTCGGGGACACATGGGCATCCCACTGCGCAAGCCGGCCGGGCACCCACGGAAGGTCCACAAAACCCCTCCAGCCCCGGCTGTGCACGTGGGAGGCCCCAAAACGAGCGCCAAGGCCCGTGTCAGAGCAACCCTGGCTCGTACCTGGTCTGGGAAGGAGTCAAACACCGTTCGGACACTGTCCGTGCTCCCGAATTTGGACGCTTTGAAGCGGCGTATGATGTCCTGGAGGGTGGCAGCCACCACGAAGTACTCCTGCTTCAGCCGCAGCTCCTTCCCCTCGAAGAACTGCGAGCAGAGGAGCGGGATGCTGCAGGACCGCACCGTGCCGCCCAGGCACGCCTGCGCTGGAGGATTTGCGCCTTCCCGGGGCTCCCCGCCACGTGGGGACCCACGCCGGCACACATCCACCGCACGGCACGGTGTGAGCCCCCAGCGCTTCCCCCAGCACCAGTTTTGGCATCAAACCCTGATGTCTCCTTGCTTTCCAGCTTTCAGCAAGGGGGTTTTGAGATGCGCTGATACAAACAGAGGCTTAAATCTCCCCCCTCCCCGAGCATCGTGGAAAGCCGTTCTCCCCAGTGCCCTCGTTTGAAAATTCTGGCCACAAAAAAAGAATAAAGTTATTGGGGCAACAGGAAGCAAAGCCATCAGGGCTGTATCAGCTCTTTCTAAGACAAAAATGAAAACCACCATTCACGCAGCATAAAACACCAACCCGCTGGTCTGCGAGAGAGGATCTGCCACCTCGCCACCGCAGCTGTGGTGCCCCCAGCTCTTCTTACCAGGCTGGGGTAGGATTAAATGGGATTAAATGGGAAAAAAAACCCCACCAGGCCCTGCCCAAAACAGGCTGCAGAGCAAGGAGAGCCGCCCTTCGCCTTCTTCCCCTGCTCTGCAGCTCGTTTTGTGCCCGGGGAAGGGCTGTACAGCCCATCACGCCTCCGTGCCAGCGGGCGGCACGGCAAGAACACCCGCAGCAAGAGGGCTGGGGTGTAAAGGGCGATTTGAGGCACAATCTCTGGTCCTGGGCTGCAAGGGAAGGGCAGGAAAACGCCAGTAGCGTTCATCGCTTTGCCTTCATGGTGTATTTGCAGACTCAAGGAACGCTTCTGCAGCAGCACGTGCTCATCCCCGCTCCTTCCCCTTTACTCGGCTGAGCGCGGATTTGCCCAGGAACGGACTCATCTCTGCTGCAGCCCTGGCGAGAAGCCCCGATCCCCGTCCAAGTACTACAGGTGGCTTGAAACACAACTAAAACACCCCTGCAACGCCCCAGTGAGAGGGGCTGCCCTGTAGCCATCCCTCAACCAGGGACGCCCCTCCAGCCCCACTTACGTTGTCGTTGGGGTAGAGGACGCGGGATATGTTCTCCGCCAGGTTCCTGTCCAGCACGGCCTGGATGTAGTCTCCGACGTTGACTGGGGAGGAGCAGAGGGATAAGGTGGGGGCGGG